TTGATTGATTTCCTGGCCCTTAAAGATTAAGTTAGTTTTAGGGGAAGTTCCATAGTTATGATGATTATGTGTTCTTAAAGTTTGCTTCTCTCAATCTAGAACTCACGAACCATGCGCAATATACATACAGTATGTTACAAAAAAATACCGGAAATTTTAATTTTCCCTATAAGTATTTATTTAAATTATATATAAATTGTAAAATTTTGATACGAACAACTTTACTTAGAGTCATTTGACCACTTATCATAATAAAATATTGTTATTACTAAATTTTCTTAATTAAAAAATTGATAATTATAAAATACTTTATTAAGAAAAATTATAATTAGTTAATATATAAATTAATTTAAAGAAATTTATACTTTATATTATAATATTTTTTAATTTTAATTTTAATTTTAATGTTTATAATATAAAATATTTTTGACTTTATAATAAATATTTTTAAAAAAAGTTTGTATTTAAAATGTAAATTACAAAATATTTTATTAAGGTAAGCTATCAAATGATTCTAGTAAAATTTTCCATTAGATTTTTAAGTACTTATCTTTAAACCTTTGTATTATTTGAATAGATATTTATCGAATAAATACAAAAATAGTAATTCTGGTTTTTTTGCAATACACTGTACATTGGTAATGAACCTATCGTATCATCAGACACTGAATTTGTAATAAGAAAGTTAAACATTTTTGTTCTTGTGTAGAGGACTGTATGCTGTTGATTGTTTAATTTTCATTGACCATTTTTTTACAGAACATTTGAAAAACGAAGGATATACCACTGATTTTGAAAATTACAGATTGCTGTAAAGATTCTTACTTGCAGTAGTGAGAATATACGTCTTGATGAAATACCAAAAGATCAAATATATAGGCTATTCAAGTGATCTCTATATACATTACTTTTTATAAAACTATAATTCCTGCATTATATTGAATAGTGCTTACAAATGGCCTACTAAAAAACAGAAAATTGAGGTTAAAAGATTGCCAATCAGTAATGGCTTAAAGACTAGTTTCGATTTTACTAAATCAGCTAGAGTACAAACAGTATTAATAGCATTAACAGAAATTCATAAATCACTTTTAAAAACAATCTCAAACTATTCATATAAATCAATCTAATATCTATATATAATTATTAATCTAAATGAATTATTTAATACTTTTTCAGCTTTTAATGTATCTTTTTGATAAGATTCTTATCAATTTCTATATGATTTTTAACTATTTTAATAGAGATTTATATTTATTATATTTATAGATACATTTTTGTTTAAAAAATTTTTAAAAAAATTTTTATTGATTTAGTGTTTTATTTAGATTAACGATCAATTGATACTAAATTTTATGATTTTATTATTATATGATTTTATCAATCATTATTTATATAGTATATTTTACTAATTGTATAGTATAATTTATATATATATATCTTAATTATGATAAAGTAAATTATAAAATAAAATACAAATCAAAAGAAATTACAAAATTTCATTCTAAATTAATTTACGATTAAAATAAAAAATAGATTGACCTTATATTTCTCTAAAATTAAACCTAATCTAAATTAAATATATCATTTTTTAAAAATATACACAAAAGAAAAAAAGAAGAATTAGAAAAGTATGATTATTGCTATACTAAAAATTTGATCAATAGGAACATAAATATATTATAGTATTTATAGAATTAAAGCTAGAAGAATTAGAAAAATATGATTATTGCTATACTAAAAATTTGATCAATAGGATCTTAAATATATTATAATACTTATAGTTAAGGCTAAAAGAAGTAAAAATATGATTAAAGAAAAATCAGATGAGAATAAGTGATTTATATAATAAAATTATTACTTTTAATTATATAAATTTAAATAATAATTAATTTATAGATCTTTTCTTTGATTTTTTTTCTTTTTTCTTTAATTCTAATTTCTATTTACTTTTTAATGAATCTAATTTTTCATTAATTCTTAGTTCTTATTTCTTCTTTAGTAATTTTTAATTTCTAATTCTTTTACTATTAATTTCTTTTATTACATTATAGTTTATTATTATTTCTAAACTTATGTTATTCTTACTTTAATATTTATAACATTTTGTTATAATTATTTTCAGATTTTTTACTAAAATTTTTCTAATTACAAATTCTAATTTTTTTATTAATTTTTATTTTCTAATTCTTCTTTTATGTTTTCTTTTTCATTTATAATTTTAAAGATTATTATATAATCTATTATATATTATCATTACATATTCTTATGATATTATTATTATTTATTTTTTTATTTTTATTAATTATTACTTCATTTTCTTTCTTTTCCTTAATTTATAAAATAATTCTTTCTTTTCTTTCATATTCAAATAAATTTATATTTTTTCTTTAATATTTTAACTAATTTTCTTTTATGATAATATAAATTATACAAGTATTTTATAATTTTAATTTGTTAACTTCTTTTTTTAAGTCTTTATATAATATTCATTCATATTTATAGTTTTTTTCTTTTTCTTCTTTTATTTTAAGAGTTTTTTAACTATTCTCTTTTTTTATTACTTCAGTTATTTGTATTTTCAGATCTTATGATTTATTTTGTATAATATTTCAATTATTATATTAATTTCTGTTATTATATTATATTATAGTTATTATATTATTTTTTAGTTATTATATTATATTTTTAGTTTTATCACTATATTTGTATTATATTCTAGTTATATTATATTATATATTATTGTGTTACTAAATAGTTATATCAGATAATTTGTATTTTATTATTTTATTATATTATTTAATTACTTATTCCTTTAATATCATGTAATTTCTAGCTAATTATTTTTTTTATAACTCTTTGTTCAATTGATTATTTTCATATTTCTTGATATTATAATTTTTAATATTAATTTCTTTGCTAAAAAAGGTTATGTAATATATCATTTCAAGATTTTTTAACTCTACATTATTTTGGTCTGAATATTTCTAAATGTACATATATTAATAATCTTTTGCTGATATAATAAAAGAAAAGAGTTTCATATTTAGCTGCTGATAATATTTTAATTTAGATTGTTACTAATCATCACTAAAATTATAAATGTCATATGATTTATTTTTAAAAGTTTTAATATATAATTGTAATAAAAATAATATTACTATATATACTTAAAAAAATTAAAATTAAATAAGAATTTTACAATAGAAAAGAAGAAAACTACTAAAAAACTTTTTTACTTTATAAGCTAAATCTTATTTTTTTAGTAAAATAAATCCAAATTTAATATTAATTCAAAAAATTTTTTTGTAGCTTTTTCCCTTTCTATTGCAAAAAGTCCAATGATAACATTTTACATTTTAACTTTATTAAAATGCAAAAATTTTTTATTAAAAAAGAACCATTCAATTTTTAAATTATATGTATAAAATTAATTATAAAACTTTATAAAAAAATTATAATATTTTAAATCTAGTAATTATAAAAGTATAAAATAAAGTTTATTAGATTTATCATATTAAGATACATTTAATAATAATATTTTAAAAATTTGAAATTAATAATTATTAATATATACTGTATATTAATTTTCAATTATTAAATTTTTAAAAATAATTTGATTATCTAATAATCACAAAAAATTAAAATTTAATTTATTAGATTTATCTTATTAATTAAAAATATTGTTTTTATATTTTTAAGATTAATAAATAGCAAGATATATAAGTTTAAAATTTAATTAAAAAATCACTAAAAATTACATTTATTTTTTAAAAAAATTTCTTAATACAGGGATATAAATATCTTACTTTGATACTAATCTATTATTTCCTATTTTTAATATTTACTTAGAATATATCATAAAATTAATTAATTTTTAAATAAATTATTTTAAAAATTTAAAATAATTAAAAATTATTTTAATTAATAAATAAATCTCATTTAAAAAATAATATTTAATTAACAATTATATACAAAACCAATTAATATTTAATATTATATGTTAAAATACAAAAATCTTTTAATAATAATATATATTTATTACCTATTATAAAATTTTAATAAAATTAAAATATAAAACAATGTAATTTCATAAAATACAAATATTTCAAAGATAATACTTACAATATTTAACTACTTTATCATTAAATAATCTGATAACTAATAATTTAATTAATTTTTAAGATATTATAAAAAAAAGAAATTTAATTTAACTAATTATTTCATATTATTTATATTGTGTAATTATACTATCTGATTTATAAAACTAATATTCTATTTCTTTTTAAATAAGCTGATCTCTGATATGTCTTTTAAAGCATAATGCATAATATATATATAAACCAAAATAAATCTCTTTATATATTTTGAATAAAGCTATTTATTTAATTCAACTATTTAGTTTAAATTTATATTTAATATTTATTAAGTAAATAATGTTTTATACAATAGTATTAACTTTTGCATTTTTTTTTTATTTAATAATTTCTAAGTATAAAAATTAAAATAAATCATTTATAGTAAGATAAACTTGATTATTTTTGTAACCCTAATAATAATATAACGCGTTTGTTATCCATTTAGCTTAATATTTCCCAGCAATTTTTATTTTCG